AATGGAGTAGATGATGGAGGTATAATGTAAGCATACTTATATAATATTTTAGCAGAATGAAAGGAGTATGTATTTTAGTATACTCTTGAATAACTGAATTACAGTACCGGAATTCAGGAAATAGTGCAAATGTCTTTTTCTGCAATGATAATAATAATTTGAGGTTCTTATATACCGCTTTATCACAACCTAGTTCGTAGGTCGCCTCAAAGCGGTTCACAAATTATAATCCTTGGTTATAGGGCCTTTTCAACCAGCCAGCATCTTTCTCAACTCCCTGGGGAGCATACAGCGGTTGCTGCCATTTCGGCCTTCACAGCTAGCATTCTACAATTCTAGCACTGCCCAACCACGTACTCATGTACAGATGTGTAGACTGGAACAAACAAAGTAAAGTATCTTGCTCGAAGATAAAACACAGTGTCGTGCCGTGACTCAAACCTGCAAGCCTTCGGTAACGAGCCCGGCGTCCTACCACTATACTACCTTGCCTCCTAGACTATCACATACACTAGGGGTATGGGAACAAAGCCTACAGAAAGGTTAGCTGAGTTTAGCAGTGAACATGAATTAGTGTATGAGCCATAGCGCGAAAGTCGCTAAAATTAGAATACTGCCAAACTTAGTGCATTTACCATAGATCATTGATCAGCTGATATACACAGAACCTAAAGAGAATTACCATACTACTGTATACCATACCCCTGTTTCAACTTTTAAGGACTTGAGCAAGACTTCCAAACTGCTATCTGTTGTATCTACACTGTATTGTGGCTTAGTTTCATGGTAAGTATTAACGTACTATGTAGGTACCATTTTTATCTATTTCACCTACCCATCAATCCTGGCTCTCCAGGAACACCGTCCGAGCCTTGTCTCCCTTGGAACCTGGCCGCAACAGTTGGGGAGGGATGTTAGGGGGTGGTCCAAGTTCTCCCTTCGTACCATTAAACCCTAGAAGACCTGTTCACAAAACCACACAAGCATTAAAAATGTTTGTCAGTACAAAGAATGTTGATGGATTAAAAATAAAACAGATTCTTCATATTTCTTTCTTATAATATAATCTGATCATCTGTTAATTCTTCCTACAAACATGTCCTTGAATGACCTTAGCTGTTAATAGAATGTTAACCTAAATAAAACCAAACAAAACGTTCCTACAAACAACAATTTTACTGGTCAAAGAAATTTTAAAAGCAGATAAAGGGACAATAACTTATAGATGCTATGATATTGCTCTGTCACCTTGAAACAAGATATCTGTGATATTGAAGTAAATTAAATGTATGTTAACCTTGAAGTAAGACATACGTAACCTTGCTGAAGGTCAATGCGACCTTTGAGAAGTGAAGTCAGATTGTAAAATTTAAAAACATGTACTGACCTCTTTCACCAGATGCTCCTGGGAAACCGGTGCGTCCCTGTTCTCCCTTCTACAGCACTTTAAACTCGACAGCACATCAACGCTATCACAAGGCAAATACACCAACATACTCTGCC